AAGCCAGTTTCTGACTATTTCTCATGTGGTCCAACCCTATCATTGTAAGGTAAACAAACCGAAGGCTCCCAACTTAGTAACATTTATTCAGCAATGCAGTAGGGGTTTCTGCGCCCTGGTCAAACCCCGCTTCCTCCACTTCAGCCTTTTTCTCTGCTTTAGGTATATTCAAATGTTCAGATTCAACTTTGGTATTAGGAAAGAATGAGCAGATGTTCTCATATGGTAAAGCTTTGGTCTGTAATTGGTCTCCTGTGCAAATTTATCAAAAATTTCATCAAACTGAAGTAATAAATTGGAGCCTACCTTCCTGGAATTGCTAGGGCTCTTCTTATCCAATTCACTGTCACTGGCCCTGTGCGGTGGTTACTCATAGGTTGTGCTGCGTACAGACCTTTTAAGTCTACTGTGAATGTACAAATTACTGTCTGTTGGGCTTTCCCCTTCTCAGTTGTCTTGCCCTGGTCAGACATGCTCAGAATTCATGTCTCAAGGTGAGTATAATTTAAAATTAAGTGGGATTTCAGCTCCCTAGAACAATTGCAAATGGTCATGGCCTGCTGGGCCTTAGCTTTTACGGACCTAGTAGGGGGTGGTTAGCAGGTTCTTCTGCCAGGAGACTTGTGACAGTTCCAGATGACAAACATTTACAGAGCCTGCCGAGTCTTCCTTATGGAGCTCTGAGCTTAAGGACGATTTGGGCAGAAATGGAATATGGGTGTTTTGGACCAAAAATACCACCCTCCTTACCCACCCCACCATCCCCCCGCCCCTCAGCTTAGTAGCCATATTGCTCTTTGTCCTCACGCTTAGTCAGGCCTGACTTAGATGATGAAATACATGAGCCATTTCTTTATGTACCAAATAAATGGAAGGCACTGTTGACAGTCATTAAGAGAGTGAGACACTCCTTGTGAAACTGCTTTGGTGGTGGTGACAGTGAACTTGGGGAACAGGGAGTGGTACCTTATTCAGTCTTTACCTGCTTGAGCAAAACCCACGCAGACAAATACAAGACCCCCCTGTGGTGGTCTCATGATACTCTAAAGCAAGTTCGCTGGAGTGCTCGTCCAACTGTGATGGTTCTGTCCCTGTCTGCTTGTCCCAGCTGCCCTCAGGGGCCAGCCAATCCTACTTATTCTAAAGTTCTGTTATCATCTTTCTACCCTCCCATTCTCAGATCCTGGGTCAACAATGGGCAGAATGTAATTCCTGGGCCCCGTGCATGTAAGAGCCTCATATTTGTCCCTGGGTTGGTCTTTCCAAGGAGGAACCAAGTGAATGAGGCAATAAGAAGTGCTTACTTGTGATTATCAGCCCCTGTCCCAACCCATCCTTTACCTGTGCCTTTGTCTCTAGTTGTCTATAGCTGTCTTCTCCCCTAAATTCTCATTTTACAAGTAAAATCTAACTGCGTCATTGTGTTAATAGAACAATGGTCACCTTCTGAATTCAGAAAACAAACTGAGCTGGTTATGCACATGAAAAGTAAGCTTTCCCCTGTGTTGCCTCAACTGGAAAACTGAGAGAAAGAGGTACATTGTGAGACATGGTTGTTGACTTGACTTTCAGGTTGGAGCATGGGTGGGGAGAAAGGGTTCTGTTTGTTGTTGAACGGTAAGGTCAGAAGAATGCATTTGAGTATGAAACAGCTAAAACTTGACTTCATGGCTATTCTTCAGTTTCATTTTGTGGTCATATACCTGTGTTGATAAGGATGAAAACTGGAGAAAGCATTTTACAAGGTCAAATGTTTGGATGAGGATGAAGTCTGAGAGACTTCAGCTATTAAGAAGTGGTGTCACTGTTTTACCTGTTAGGAAATCCCCTGGATTTCCCTGGGGTGACTCTGTCTGAGAAAAAGCAAGCAAGAATTGACTTAGTAACACTGATGAAAGGGAAGTAACTTTTATTTTTGCCTAGGTGATATTTCCCCTATTTGAACACTGAATGGATTAAGTGAATAGGTGTCATGAACACATGGGGAAACTGCCTCACACTTGGATGACACAAATTTCTCCTTTTGTTGGCAAAAGTATGTGATAGATGACTAAATGATGACAGAGGTCAACACAGTGTTTTGCATCAACATTGTTATATTAATGTGGGCTATGGCAGGCTATGGGAAAACACTCATGGGTCCTTCCACTTGGAGCTTTCTTATTAGGGGTTCAGTGCAGGTTATATTCATTTATTGGGAATCAGCTACCTGGAGCAATAATATCAGGTGGTACTGATTAGGATGACCATCCCCTACCCCACCTTAGTAAAGTTATCTACAGAATATCTCAGTAGGGCCTCAGGATTTCAAAAGTATTAATATATAGCAAGATCTAGGCTTGCTTAGCATCACAAGGCACTGGGTTAGATCCCCAGCACTAAAAGAAAAAAAAAAAAGTCTGTGTATTTCAGGATTAAATAACTCATGACCCTTAAGAATGTTAGCAAGAAATTAATTTGTGAGACCAAGAAGCTCCTTTATAAGTACAGAGATTTGTTTTGTGAACACAAGGACATCTGCCTTAGTCTGTATTTTATAAGTGCTGGTTTTGCATTTCATGTTTAAGCTTCCTATTTGATTGCTGAGAGAGGCAAGGAAGTTCCAAGACTGTTATAATTTTAATGCTATCTCTCGTTTCAATGCTGAAGATAGGCAAAAGGTTGTGGGAGACACTTTCATTTATGGCCTGTGCTTTGATTGTTCGTGGCATTTGTCAGCGAGCTATGCCTCCAAGTGTTTAAATAAAACCCATATTCAGGTTTTATTTGCACATTTCTTTTTGAGTTTTTTGAAATCACATTTTGAACCACATTTTCATTTTTTTTGATAGACTTTAGATAACTTTCTTGATACAATTGTGAAGGTTTTGGGATTGTGTTTTTTTCTTTATTTGTATTAAATCTGAATTGTTGGCTATTTTTCTTACATTGATAGTATTATACTAGTTATTCTGTGTTTCTTAGGAAAATTCATTTTTTTAAAGATTTTCTTTAAGAAATGTCATTTCTTGGTAGTTTTTTTTTTTCCTTTTGGCAGTAGTGGTGCTTGAACTCAGGGCTTCCTGCTTGCTAGGCAGGCACTCTCACCACTTGAACCACTCCTCCAGCCCTGTAAGAAATGTCATTTCTTAATTTTAGTTTTAAGTGAGCTAGCATATTGCACTGACATCCCTAGCTAAGATATTCATTAGACTTCTATTTGTATTGATACACATTTCTTCTTTATTTTACTTACATACAAACATTATAAAGATTTCTCAACATATTTAATTAAAGTAAATAGCTCAGATACTAAATATAAACAATACAGATAGCCATTTTTTGTAATAACCAACCTGAATTTCAGTTAATTTGGTTAAATATGTTTGCTAAGATTTCCAGGATATAAATCTGTCATTTATAATTTCTTTTGTTAACTTCGGCAAGTTAATATATTTAGTAATGCACTGAAATGAAAGGAGACATTAATTTGAATTAACACTAAATATCTTGTAAGGTATCTTAAAAACAATCAGACTGCCTGATTTAATGATTATATATTTAATAGGTCGGAAACAGTTCTTGATAGATGAGTTGATAATATCACAATCCTCCTTCACAATTATCAGGAGTCTGTTCTCATTCAACAACTCTTTAAGGCTGAGTAAACATGATCTTAATTAAACTCACAGATAATGTGAAGGGATGTTGATTGCTGCAGTAGGAAAAATAAAATGATGCAGCCTGACCTTAAGAAATAATAAATATGGGAATGTCAACAAATGATGTCACACAGCAAATATCTGAGAGAAGATTGGCTCCCAAGTCAGTATTGCTGAAACAAACTGGGCTTGAGTTTAAAATGTATTTTGTGGATATTTAGAAATGTTCCTTTCAAATATTTTAAATGAACCCTGAAATATGTCAAGTCCTATACCTAAATTAGGGATCAGGTGAATAGGTCCTGTTTCTGGGAACCTAGTGTAACTGAGGTCTGTCTGAATTAAGATAGCATTGCGTATTCTTCAGTCTAACGCTCTCCAAACTGAGCTATCCCGGCCACTACTGCATTGCGTATTCTTGATGGTGGAGGGCTCGCAAGTATAGAAGGGCAGAATCACAGTGCCCTGGACACTGCCTTGCTGGTATTTATCACCAGTTTCTAAATACTATACTGATGATGGAGAATAGAATGCCGATTGATATTGAAGGAAAGCAAACAAAAATTAGATAACATCCAGTTCACCATCAGTGAGTTTTGTATTTGACTTATTCTTTGAGGCTTGTGAAAGCTATTAGAAATAGAACTTCCTACTGGTATAAACAGGAAAAAGTAGTTGCCTCGTGTCCATATATAGTAATAAATTTCTACTTACTGGGTATTCAAGATATAGCTAGTAGCTAGTATGCTTGTGAAAAGGGGTCTTAGCTAATGTTTTAATACACTGGAATCTGTTTTTATGATTCTAAAACATGGCCCTTAATAAGGAAACCAAATGCAGCACACAAGATGAAAAATGAATGGATGGTGAAGTACATTTATCTTAGGCATCGGGTGTTCCATTGACAAAAGGCACAAATATGAAATTTGTCTAAATAATTAGATTTTTAATTAGTGCATCACTATAAGATTAATGTCATTGCACTTCATTGCATGTAATTTTCTGTTAGAAATTTCATATCAACAAAGATGCCACCTGTGGTTTGCTGATTCGAATCCTTAATTTATCACTTGTGTGTATGGTATGGTACAGCTATAGACATGAGCTGAAAGAAGGCATGTGATTATAGCTGCATGGTGCTGAGGAATAATGATGGTGTATGCTATATGAATAAATCATGGTTTCTAACATTCAGGCCATGCATCCCTCAAATTTTGGTGAATATATAATACGTTGCAATGATGTGAGCATAAACAGATATTGTAGCTTGTTCAACCTAGTCTAGGCTGAATTTGTATATGCTTAAACATTGTTGGTACTATTCTCCTTTTAAAACTGATTTTGCTTTCTTTTTGACAGTTGCCGAACAAGCAACCGGAAAAGCTTGATAGGTAATGGCCAGTCACCAGCATTGCCTAGACCGCACTCACCTCTCTCTGCTCATGCAGGTAACCAAGTTTCTTCTCTTGAGTTCTGTCTTATTTCTTTTGTTAGTGTTTAAAAATAATTCTGGCCTTGTGATACTCAGGTGTGTCTTTGCATCTACCTTGGTATTCCTCTTAAGTTGTTCTTTCTGAAATACAGAATTTCTTCTTATATGGCGTCCTTTTCCAATTGTTTCTCCATTTCTAGATTTTTGATAATACAGAACATGTTTCTATATTAGGAATATCTTTGGGAAATGCAGACACAGTTGCTCACATGGAGAGGATAAATGTTAAGAATTTCAGCCCGTTTCTTCCTGAAATTGAACTTGACTGTTACATTGAGATAGCCATTGTGCTAATGATAAAAATTCAAGAAGTGAGGCTGACCTCAACTACCTCATAGAATTACAAGGAAGACAGTCATATTACAAAAACCATGCAATAAATACTGTTTTCTACCCTTTTTTTTTTAATTTCAAAGTTCTATCCAAAGTGATGTGAAAAAGAGAAGGGTTAGTTCCAATCAGGAAAGTCTTAGAGAGTTTGAGGGAGCCACTTGCCCAAGATGTTGAAAGATGGCCAAGATTTTGGCAGGTAGAAGTAGGGTGAAAGAAAGAATTCCCAAAGTATGGCTAGCCCTCTGGAGGGTTTGCCTGATTACAGGAGAACATGAAGGCAGATGGTGGATGTCCAGGAGTGGAAGGAGTTTTGACTCGAGTGCCTTTTCAGGACTGGGGGGAGGATCCATGTGGTAGAAAGGTGTCTTCAGGACTGGGAAAGATGAAGGCTCCAAAGATTGAGCCAGTAGCCCTACTTCCATGGTACTCTTGGGGAAATTCAAGTTTGAAACTGGTAGGCTCTCAGATGATCTTGGTTTCATGATTAAATGCCTGGCTATCAGTGTCCCCCAGAAAGCAGTGCTGGACCTCCAGGGGTCTCTCCAGTTGAGGTTGGAGTTGTCTGTTATGATTGGAAGAATAAGGGAGAGAGAGGGAGTCACTCCTTTGGAATGACATTTTATTTCCTTCAGAGTATAAATAAAAGGTGGTCAAATACAAGGTAAAAGACAAATTAATAAAATTATGACATTGTAAAATAATCAGTAGTGTCCATAAATGCTTCTCCCAGGGAAAACTTTAGAGACGGTTTGCACACATGAGGACATACTCAAAGCCTTGCACAGTGGCACCATTGGTGACTGGAGGTGTGGCTCAAGTGGTAGAGCACCTGTTTTGTGAGCACCTGCTTTGCAAACACAAAGCCCTGAGTTCAAACCCCAGTTTTACAAAAAAAAAAAAAAAAAAATTAAACATTTCAAACAACCTAAGTTTCAATCAGTTGGGAAAAGGATAAACTGTAGTGGCAGAGTCATACAGAGAAAATAAACAAATGCACTAGATATGTATGCATGTATTTATATATATATATGTATATAGAACTCAAATATAGTGTTGGGCAACAAAAGCAAGTTACAAAAGAATATTGCTTAAACAATTCATACAAAGTTAACATGATGCTACATTTAACATGTTAGGGTATATATGTTATGTATCATAGAACATATATGTAACATAAAATACGGCCTATAACACATACCTATAAAATATATAATAATTGTATTCTCCAGATTAATTATATAATGATCTATGTATGCACAAATATATATATATATTTGTAGTAGATTAAAGGAAAACATGGCAATTTTAACAAACTATAGAAATGATCCACGAACGTATAGTCTAAACATGGCAGTTTTCAAGACCAGTTTTAGGATAGTTATTTCTGAGAGGAGCGAGAGCAATACAAGTGGGGAGAGGGTAAGTAATTGGTGATATTGTATTTTTGCAGCTATGGGATGAGTACACGATCACCTCCATTACCAGTATTTATACTTTGAGGTTTATATACATCATTGTCATAATAGTAGAAGCCTACAGAGGGCTGAGCAAAGGTAAAAATCTTACCTGAGAGTTGGGATTATGTTGCCTAAAGTTTTTTTGTTTCTCCGTCACCCAGCGCAGTGCCTGGCAGTATTCCCGGGTACTAAGTGAAGGATGAATCCTTTGTCTTACACATAATTCAGTACTGATCTTAAAAATATAATCTCCTTGTAGTATTCTGTAGGTCTCACTATCCTTTATGTGCCTGTGGATTAGTCTTTTATTGCTGTGATTTTCTTCAGTTCTGATATTGAAAAGAGAGAAAACGTGGTTAGAAGTTTAATGGTCCTCTTAATTATTTCTCTTTTCTCTGCATAGTCTTAGCTTGAATTCTTTTCCCTTCAACATTAATTTTAGAACTTAATCAGAAGTGTAGGCAGAAAGTCTGTTGTTCTGGGTCTGAGGCCATTTTCTTCCTTGTTTTCATTTGTTTTGTTTTGCTTTGTTCTTAGAGACAGGGACTTTCCATTGTTGTCCATGCTGGCCCAAACTCATGATCCTATTGCCTCATCTCCCTGCGTGACTACAGGCATGTGCTAACACACCTGGACTTATTTCATTTTTTGTTGAAACAGGATCTTGCTATGTAGCCAAAGCTGGCCTAGATCCCATGATCTTCCTGTCTCAGCTTCCTGAGTTGCTAGGATTACTGGTGTGAGGCACCACACCTGGTTCAGGATTTTTTTTTTATATTATAGAGCCAACAGGTTGATATTAACTCAGAAGCAGTGGGAATTCTGTCAGACTTTTTGTGAGAAGTGGTATTTATCACAGTGTGGCAGATACTCACATTTCTGTGTAAAAAAAGATTCAGAAAAAAAGTGTAAATTAAATAAAAGGCCAGTACTGGTGTCTTAGCAATGTGCGGTACATTGCCACTTACCATGCCTTCCCCTCCTTCCACCTGTCACCACATTCTCTATTCCGTGTGTGGTACAAGTGCTAGGTGAGGATTCCTAGATGTCTCTATGAAAAACAACAGGAGGAAAAACACCCATCTCTTGGCACATGTAGCCTAAAAGATAGACTCACCCTTTCTATTTTTCTTCAGGAAAGGGCTATGTGTACCCTGCCACTCCTCACTGCCATGTGACTCTGCACACATCCAATGCCTCAGCAGAAACTGAAATGTTACTTATTTGTGTAGGTGTGACAGGAGGAAAAAGATGTTGGCCTGGTGTTCTGGAGCATGTCTTCACACACAAAGTAGTGTTTGGGAGGATCTAGGTTTCCTAAAAGAATAGTGAACAGGACAGTCCCATTAAAAAATAAATAAATAAAACAGAAAAGTAGAAAAATCACAGGCTCCTAGATCCAGGGAGAGCTAATCATGAAACACAATCCAGCAAGTCTGAAGGAAAAGACAAGTGTATTGCTCCTAAATAAAGTTTCTATGTAAAAAGAAAAATCAAAAGAAAACAGTGTAAAAAATAGTTGTGTGCACATAACTGATTTCCCATCTGATTCCCTGAATGTAAAAGAGCTTGTTTGAGTTAATATGAAATGGTAAATAGACCAATAGAACAATGCATAAAAGGTGAAAATAGCATGCTATAAAAAAAATGGCCAACAAAAATGTAAGAAATGCAATCTCATTGCAGCCATGAGAGAAATGTGAAGTAGGACAGCGAGAAAATTGTACCATTTACCTAGAATAGTATATATATATATTTTTTTGGTGGGATTGGGGTTTGAACTTAGGACTTTGAATTTGCAAAGCAGGCACTCTACTGTTTGAGTCACATCTCCAATCCAGTATAAAATTTTTAATTGATAAAATTCACTAACAGCAAAGATGAGGAGAAGCAATCCCTTAAAGTGTTGATGTGAATCAGCATAACAATTTGGTTAGTGGTTTGCCATGTTGGATAAAATTTCAAGTACATTTGCCCTTTGGCCTAGTAAATTTATATAGAGGAATTTATCTTACAGATACTCTCACAGAATAATAGGAAAATTTAAGTGCTTATAACTAGCAAATGGAAATTTATCAGTTTTTTTATTTAACTTGCCCTTCAGTAATGAACTGGTTAAGGAAATAATAATTGAGCCATATATTCCAGCACTCCATGGTTGTTATAAGGAAAGTGATGGGCTTTTTTGTGGTGGTACTGGAAATGTGTCCAAGGTAAGTCATTACGTGGAGAAATGTATATAGTAATTTCATGCATTTTATAGTGTGCTTGCATAGCATACACTCTTGTATATTCATGTATATTCATAGGAAAATTGTTAACTGTTTATTTAGTGTTAATAAGAAGTAGGGAACTTAGTATATAATACTTTTATAATAAAAATAAGGCTCTAAAAATATAATCCCAAAGAAAATGAAATACCTATATTAGTTTTGTGTTGCTATATAAACATGTTGCTAAAAATTTAGAGGCTTAAACCAGAATGCATTTATTAATCTGATAGCTTTGAGGGATAGAAGTCTGGGTAGGTATGCCTGGATTTGTTGTTCAGGGTATATTAAGACCAAATCAAGGCCTTGATTGGATGGGCTGTTTTCTGAAGGCTGAGAAAGAATCCACTTCCAAGCTTGTGAAAAGTGTAGATAGATTCACATTGTTGCCTTTGTAGGACTGAGGTTCTCTTTTCAGCTTGGCCATTACCTAGTGCTGCTTTGGTAATGCATATGGTTTATTGCTGTAGGATTTTACACTTTTACATTTTCCATACTCATAAAGCATTTGTTTCTCCTTTTCTTTATCTGTATTTTCAGCCATGGTCCCTCTCTTTTGTGTATTTTTTTTCTTACTGATATGTAAGAAGTGAGACATCACAATTAATCTTTTGTAATCTTACCAGTGTTCTTTTCCAGTTTGCTATTTGCTTTTCTTACTTGTGTTTTTGCCTAATAGAAGTTATTCCTTATTTTTGATTCTTTATAGTTCATTCTCTCTTTTTCCTTCTGATTTCTCTGTTGTTGTATGTAGTTGTAGATTCATTTTTTAGCAAGACTAGACTTGCTCTGAGAGCCACCTGCTGTTGTCTCACCGCATTCTGCCCGCACTTGATGCTTGACAAGTTCAGTATTAAAGGCACAGTTCTTTTTTCTCATACTCTTGGTCGGTTAGT